TACACCTTCTGTTCGCAATAAAAAGCAAATAGTCCTATTTATGTCGAACCCTTAAAGGCGTCTGNACCCCTGGTTGACAACTTCTCTGCTAAAACTGCAGGAACAAGCGGCATGTTAGCACACGGCCAATATGAGTGTGGAGGGGCTTTTATAAACTTTAAAGCGAAATGAAGGAGAGGATTCTTTAAGGCTCTAAATATTTTTTACAGTCAGAGGAGAAAGCTAACATCTGAGCTGGGGTAAAATTTTGCTACCTACATCCAATTGGGAGTCAGGGTTACCGTTTTGGGGTAAAGGGTCTCAAGTCTTCCAGAGCAATGTGGTAGGACGCACTTGCGTACCAAATCGTCGTTATTAACGCGCAGCTGTGATGATCGAATCATGGCGATGGAGACTGAATAGCCCGCATAATTTTACGTACCAATTGACGAATTGTCGTCCTGCGGTTTCCCTCATTTAGCTCAAACTATCACGATCAATCTAATTGACAAAACATGACCGTTCTAGCCCAACTTCCAAGGTTGTTGTTGTCATTGTTCTAAAGGCTTTGTTTCTTACAATACAGGCGGAAGAACGACTAACCGACACACATCAAAGGAAATTGACGATGATATTTCATCCCTCCCTTCTGCCAGCCGAGTTGGTTGCCATTTTCCGAGGTAGTTCAGACAATGACGCACACGTATTATGCACGACGTAGACGCGTAGGAGTGGGTAGAGCCATTAATGTTAATGCAAACGCCTGGAATGCTGTCTAGTCGGATGGTCGGGTAGGCTATTTACTGCTTTGTCTTCTTCATCTTTTATGCCTCCTGCTGCTGGTTTTTTGGGTCAAAAATGTGTAGCACCACAGAAGGCGAAATACAATCTTCTCCGTGTTCCCACCTTTGTGGATGACCCAACGATATCGACTATTTGGGGGGAGAGAGGCTTGAGGACTGCATTCAACGTAGGTGGTCGAGCAAGCGGTCGCGTGACAGAATGAGTGATCGAAAGTCAATATAGGATTTATAAATTCCCCTGCATTTTTGTCAAATTTAGTCACAATTTATTGATATCCTCTAAACTAAGTTCGGTGCCAAGGCAAAAGAGGATTAAAAAGTAGACATATTTTTTTTCCTAAGTTGAGTCAAGTAAACAAGGCGTACTAATTCACTTAAATTTTCGGCAAAGAGCCAGTGCTATCAGCGCGCTAGGTTTGAATTCAAACTGTGGGACCAATAAGCACGCTGATTGGTTGGATTCCTCTAAAAGCCTACATCGATCGGTAATCTCTCAGCTGCGGGTTCTGTAGGGGGAAGGTAAAAAAAAAACAAGTCAAACAATAGCTTCTTCCAATTTGACTAATCTAAGAGACACCACTAGCCGGGTTATCTTCTACAAATTATAAAACCCACTTTTTAGTATTCTTTTAAGGCACCATAGCTGCAGCATTTACAGAACAGAGAAAACTCTTCAATTTATGGCTGCTTCATCGCGAACTAGGACAGATCGTCAAAGAGGCAACTAAGGTCGTATAAATATGCCTCTCAGTGAACCAAAATCTAGTCCATATTTTTTTTTCACACATAGGTGAGCTATACCCATGAAATTGATCAGCCACTTTATTCTCACAGAGTGATGAAAATGGAGGAGCATCCGACCTCTTAAATTTTCCGATATTTATCTGCGTACGTGAATTAATAACTAACCCACCATGGAAACTATAGTTCAAAATAAATAATAAAGTCTTAAGTCTCAAAAGCAACTTTCTTCCAAAAATAATTTGAGAAAGTGAGTTACCATCATTTAGTTCTTCATATAAAACAAGAAGATAGTTGGCTTGCACTCCAACCTGGTTCATAAAAAACACATTATTTGGCAAAAAACAGGATTCGAGGAAAAAGCAGCAACAAATCAGTTCTAGGTACGCTTTTATAACTTAAGCCTTTTGGACAATTTGCTCCATTATGTGATTTTTGGATAACACATTAAAGACATTGATTTGTTGGTACTTTCATTGGATAATATTTTGGTGCCTTTTACTGAGGATACAAAAGGCGAACAAATGCGCAGCTCCCGGGAAAAATACTTCATAAGAGAATCAGAAATTGCCGCCTCCTCCTTCGCCTTCTCCGTCACGAGGTTGGCCCAAGCCACCAATTCGCCACCTAATAAAGCGTCCATAAAAGATTTGTCGGTGGATTGAAGAAGTAAAAAATCAGTTGGAAGTCATGTCCTAAACAAAAGCTTATTAAGCGAAAATTCACTCATTGTTTGTGATAGAACAACCAAAATTCACAAAAAATTTGGCAGCGAACTATCCAATCCTAACTGGAATCAGGAAAGTGAGAAACATCAGGTCGCTAAATCGCAACTTTTCCCATGCGAAAGCATCCTATTGCCATTTCAATTTAAAATATGAGTTATTATTGGTTTCTCTTTTTCTATTTAACAATGCTTAAATGGATAGGACCCTTTACAATTACCCTTTTTCTCTACTCGGATAAGGTCGAACTAGGCTGAAATTGGTCCCTAAATTTTTGCCACAATTTTATGTGCCGATAGGACGCTAAAAGTATTTGATGGAGGCACATTTAGGCTTTGAAACTCTGCCATATAATATTTTAGCACCTCCTAGTTGTAATAAACCAAGGTGGAATGGCGGAACATACATTACTAATGTGCAGCAGAGCTGAAGTACAACTTGTGAAGACTGAAGTGCCCGGGCAGTTAAGCACGCAGTTGAAGTCATCAAATCACTACAGAAAAAGAAAAAGAAATAAGAACACGGTTTACTGATTCTAATGCAGAAAATGGAGATATTTCCTACCTTAACCTTGTCAGCTGTCATTAAATCACCTGAGAAACAATCGATACTTTAAACGGTGCGGAAAAAATAAGTATTTTTATTGCTTGCTTGATTCCTACTTAATCACTCTTAAATTCGCTTGTAAAAGGAAACTTTTGCAAATAATTATTGAGATATTTCTAGAAACATGGCTGCTAACAGGTAGACAAATCGTGGGACACAAGGGGAATGCAGTCAGACTGAACATAATTAATGACATCAGTTTGAAAAGGACAGACACTCCGCGCTTGGACGTGTGAACGGCCTTGGAATATGAATCATCTCACACTGGAGCTACTCTTGAATGCCCGGAAGGCGGCCATCCTTAATGAAAGTCGTTTATCTAATCGCAATAATGGATAGATGAGTTATTTTAGCTAATTTACAGCTATAAAACGTGGGGACGTGCTGGATCCCTCGGAATCACAATCACCTTTTACCTTAATCATAAACTTTAAGCCAGTTTTTCCTGTTAATCCACAGGAGGTGGATTTTCAGAAGTCCTTACAAAAACAAAATCCATCTTCTGCAGTCCTCCGAGTCACCCATGAGAGGGGGATGCGACATTACAAACCGGAAAGGCTTCTTATTAACTTACCAAGAGGGTCGGAAGGTAATGCCGCGAAAATGGAGGCGTGTGTTGTAGATAATGAAAGGCTTGCACTGTCGATTGTACACTAAAACCAATTGCAGTTCACTTTAAGTCGAACACTTTGAATTCAAGACTCGATTGAGCGGTCACTCCCTCTAAATTTATGAAATTTATCTCATTAAAAATACAGCAATACAATACAATACAGTGCATGCCCCAACGACTGAAAACCCATTTCATAGTACTTATGAAGCCCTCGAAGTCCAGAGAAATGCGAGAATGCTGGAGGCCAATCTACTACCTTCACCCCCAATCCACTACTTTTGGAGGTAATCATATTACTAGGAGGCGGTGTTCGTTTCCTATGCAAACTGCTTCTCTACTTCAGCGTACATGCACGCAAGTATGGAGAACGAAGCCTTCAGAGGTGGAGAGGTGCAATAAGGAAAGGGAAAGAGAAGGACCAACGGAGTGAGCCATCAAACAGGCCCCATTTGGTCTTTCCTCTCGCACTCCCTCTCGCCATCCATTCCATCCTACCCTTTCTCGGTGCATCAAAGGGAAGGTTTTGGCGTTATTTATTCACATCTGCACAAATTTGGTCCAGATCCATAAATCATTATGGGTTTTGGGGAAAGATTGAAAACCTCGTAAAAAACAAAGTGTGTTTAGCACGTTCGTGGGTTTTTTAGCCTTAATTCATTCAAGTGCAAAATTTGAAGCACTATTAAGCATAACAAAGGCTGGTGAAAGGCATTAAGTCATCAATACACCCATCCATTGGGCCTTTTTGTAGTTTGTAGGGACTTGACAAACGTAGGCCGCTATTTATATGCATGCATCGAAGGACAGAGATGTGTCAGTCTATCGGCGTGTTATACAAATTGTCAGTCCACATATATCATAAAGCCTCTGTGAAACAAGCCAAGTCGATGTGATTTAAGCTTTTACGTTTGACAAAGTTAGACTCGACCCCCAAGCTGTAAAAGCTTCACGTAGCATTTGCCGTACAACGCTTGGAGGAGATGCGGATGCGGAAAGTCCCACTTGGAAGACAAGCGTATCGAGTTGATGAAGGCCCCTCACTCTTGAAAATAAGAAGGAATTACGGATGATGAATCAAGTCCATTTTTGACTTGAATGTTAAAAAATTGGACTTTTTGTTCGTCTGTTGGTTATCAGAGCACCCTGCTAAACTTTTGTTCCATTCAGAGACTTCTATTCTGGACGCGTGGAAACTTTTACCCCTTTTTGTATCTCCCACCTGCCTGCAACATTTAGCGTACGACGAAGCGGTCTTTCGAACTCTTTGGTTGAAATGACTTCGGGCCCTTTTAGGCAGGCTGACAACTCTCATAGTAGTTAGGATAATCACGTGGGCTATCTAACAGAGATTGTCACATGAAAGATGTAGGTAGATGAAACAGGTGCCGCACCTCCTCGCCTGAATTTACCATGGCTATCGGAACTACAAAGGTGCAGGAACACTTTTTACGTCCCTTGCAAAATAAAAAGTGGCAGATGAAAATAAATAACAAACGTTAATCTTCAAATTTAGTTGCTGTGGCAGCTAAAAAGACATCTGCTGGGTATATTTGCTGCCATTAGGTTCATTTAAACAAGCAGGCTCAAAAAGAAAGTTAACCGATGTTTTACCTTTACAAAGAAAGTGTCTACAAATGCAAAAATTAACCGAACGAAATAAAATTGGCCTCTGGGATCTTTTTAGGTGAGGCGGTAATTTGGCGTCTCGAGTCTGCTCCAAACTCAACATATCAGGTCCCTCCTTTGAGGATCCTGGAAATGCTTCCATACTCTTCGTTTTGGTTGCATTTTAACCACTGCGTTGCTTGTGAAGATGCTGATGTACACCGGAAGTCAAAAAAATAATCGCATTCCAAATACACAATAGGGTTGAAATGCCAATAGCGCAGAAAGTGGTGGCATTCCAAAAGGTAGAATGACGTATTTTTTATCTCCCGACAGCACAAGCAGTTCATTTATGGGCAGATCGCATTCATTTGTGGTTGGAGTAATACAAATCATCGTTCCTACCAGCAGTCTAGTACAAACAGATGCGAAATTGCGCATTCACCAACGGTGACATCAAAGCGGACACCGTTGTGCCTTTGAAGTGAGGTCTTCGTGATTCACGCAATGCACAAAGCAGGCCGAGATGAGGCGAGACGAGGCGCTGGGCGGTGCGATGCGGTGCGAGGTGTGGTGCGGTGTGGTTTGTGAGTGCGCAATTAACCCACTTTTGGTCCGCTGTGTGTGTGTATTCATCCTTGCAATGCCGCCTTTATTCACCGCGCTGCATTTGCGAGTTGTACTAGATGAGCGGTGTGTGCAAAAAACAAAAAAAAATACCGAGACCGTCATGTTTACATCGAGAAAATCCATACAAATTCACAAGCTGACTTGGAGGTGAGCAATGGGGGTTTTACACGAAGTGGGATATGCCTTTTGACTTGCAGCCTTCCATTCCTTCCCCGCTCAGTTATCAAATCCACTTGGAAATATGTTAAGCCCTCTAAGGAATCCGGATGTAACCTAGCTACTAAATTGAAGGAAAAAAAATTGGTTTTTAACTCATTATAAAAGTCCTTTTGATTTTGTCGCCTGAGTCGTAAGGAGGTAGCAGTTGTGGATAGTGCAATCTGCAAGAACTTACAGGAGAAGGGCTCGTCAAAGTTGTGTCGACATTAAGTATCGAAGGCAATCTCGAAATTTAAGAAATGACCACGCCTATATAAATTTAAAGCATCCATTTTGAATAAAAGCTTTACAAGACGGATATAAAACTAGGAGATTGGGGGTGGTTCAGGCAAGAGGCTAGACAATATTTGAACCGACAAGATTGTGCAGAGAAAGAGAAAAGGTGGAAAGATTGTTCTTTAAGAATTTTAATCCACATCCGCGTTTAATAGAGATGTGTATGAAAGCCTGTATTAGCCAAAGGAAAGGAATGAACGTGGAAAGCGCCAAAGACAACAACCAAATTGGATCAGCCCGAGAGCCTGTTAAGTACCCCTTAATTTCATTTGATTATCCGGTTTGACAGTTCTTCCAGATTGTCACATCCTTAGCCGCCTTTTGGAAACCGTAATACTTTGATTACTTAACTTTTGGTTTTGGTTTCACCAGCGTTAAAGTCTATGCTTCTGTACTCCACCTGGGCGACATGGCCTCCAAGCCATGCCATTAAACCGCCAGCCCTTCTATACGTTGACGAGGGGCACTCTTCAGGAAAGTCTCGGGGTGCCCTCAAAGGAAATAATGCACTACCTAGAAGCTAATTTTTATTTTTGATTAAAAGTTTTTAGGAGATGATATTATAAGGTTAGCGTGGTCTCCCGCACACCACATCTGTAAGAAGGTAGTGCTGTCGGTCAGTCTTACATTGGAAGAGCATCCAGTTGCGGCTCCACCTTTCCTTCTCTAAACATAGGATATCGAGATTCAGTAAATGGAAGAAGGCTGTCCTCTTGTGGATCATCTGGCGAACTCTCTTGGGAGTCTCCTCGACGAGGCCCTTCAAAACGTCTTCGATTTGACCTACAGCACGTTGAACGAATATAACTATGCGAACGCTCGAAGTCTGCCTCCCATAGTCTAGTTTTTCGTGCAGATTTAGGGGCCCAACACAAATGGGGAAACGACTTGATGTGATCTGTGGGCACAGGTAATAGGTATGCTATTGCTTACATGCAATACAGAGTAAACTATAGACGGGAATCCGTCACTTGGGGTGCGGTACTCACCAATATGCTATCCATGGGATGTTGATTGATTAAGCCGAATGAATGTGGATGGATTGTTGAGCTTTTCTGTTCTATAAGCCAAATTGGAGTTAATTTTAGGGCTGGGGAAGCTTTGCCTGACATTAGCCTTACGGCAGTTGGTGAAGCAGCGATCTGTAAAGAGTCACAAAAGCTTTGATTCTAGCTGCGTTGTGGAAGACCCTCATTCCGCCATAATAAGGCACAATTGCTTATTGACTGACGGATTTAAAATCATCAGGAATTTTTAAGAGAACTATGCATATTTTTTTAAGTAAGGATTAGAAATGAGAAATTGTTGCTATTTTATTTAGTGGTAACAAATTCCCCTCAACGCAATTTGTTTTTATTTTTCACTAAAGTTCCCTACCCTACTTAGTCTTGCCTGCAATAGGAGTTGTGAATAAATGGATTTTTTGTGGATAAAACACGAAACAGTGGAAATGAGTTTGATTTCCTAAAAAAAGTAGGTAAAGTAACTATTCATATCCTTTTGTTTTAGTGTACCTTTTTAACTATCCCAGTTTATCAGCCCCAGTGTTTTGAACTTCCCTTCGGGGTGGCATGGTATTTCGACCAGGTCTACGGAGTTCCAGCTGTTCTTTATGCTGAAAATCAGTCTGCTTTGCCATTAGTACGGAAGACTCACAATACCATAGCATCATTGACCAGAATTTATTAGAAAAGCACTTTTGCACTACTTAAATACCAGACGATAAGCAGTGAGCTTCGTGAAAGTGATGCAAATGAAATTAAGTAGTGCTTTCCATGCACAAAAGTGAATCGCTGATAAGTTTTTCCTTGTGTAATTGACGAGAAAAAAAATCCTATGAATTTATTTTTAGATCACACTGTACTACTTGACGTATCTGTATCCCGAAGTTCATTCTACTACATTTATCCACAGGGGGACTTTGCACTTTGTTTCGTTAATAGAAACGGGACCTGAGTGGTGAATTTCCAAATCTGGGCTTGTCATATGACTACTTCTATCCTGTAAGCTGACGTGTGGCAGTGCGATTCACCAGAAGGTTAATGCACGGGCTACATAATACAAAAGCGCGGGAGGGAGGAACAGGGTTTGTCACATTGTGGATGTTTTGGACGGGACAAATAATTGTTGAATCGTCTATGAGGGAGTTGAAAGGTAGCTTGGCAGGTGCTGAGTATACCAATTAGTCAACCGCTAACAGCTCTAAACGTGAAGAAAATTTGAAGAAACTGGACAATTGCCTTGCGAAAACAGAATGTCGGTACATTTTCCGGAACTTTTGTAGGAAAAAGTTTTACCTCATAGAAATTTACTCCGATAGCTTTAACTTTAGCCGGTCCAAAAAATGGGATTAACCTTGACATTACAGTAAGTATTATCGCAATTCAAGTGCATCTAAATAAGCACAATTTCTCGAATGCTCGAGAATGAGCGGTAAAGTGGGATCGTTTCAAAGATTTTAGGCGTCCTCGGCAGTTTATTGTGATAGTGAACTACCAACGGAGAGACACCTTGCAAAACGGTGGACAAGTTTCTTTCTTACTTTTATGTATGCACCGCTTCGTTCATTACACATGCAGTTATCTGATGATAAGAAAGCTTAATAACCACTTAGAGTTCCTAGGGACATGCGGGAAATACAGGGGAGGGATGAAGGAGATTGAGATGAAGTAGTACCCCTCTCCCATCCTAAAGTGCCTGTCAT